CGTAAGTATTATAAAGGTTATGATTATTTATGAGATGATACAACATATTATTAAGCTTTTTTGTAATGCTTTATGCATTAATTATAATGCCTTAAGAAAACCCTTATAATGTATTATAAATACAGGCTTCATATAAAGTGTTACCGGATTGACAAACAATTGAGGAAAGAAGAGAGAATGTTCAGTTTGTGGGTTTTGCTCTTATATACTTAAATTTGGAGTTTGGAGTTAGATGTCAGTAACATGATTATTCTGTTTGGTTCTCTCTCTCTACAACCCCAACAGTGCATAAGTGTTAAATCAGAAATATATATTACAGAGTTAAACATGTTAAAGCAAATGTTTCTTATTTACAGATAAGCAGTGAGGACGCCCCCCCTTCTCTCTCTCTTTTGGAACTGATGGAAAAGGGGGTCTTTTTTTATGATGTTGTATTATGTGTTATTGCAAAAATGAGTATATACAGTATATAAATATGCATTCTTGAACCATTCTTGAGTCTTGTGTCTTGCCTCTTGCCTCTCTACAAACTTTTAAATATCTGGCTGTAATTTAGTGACCGCAAATGCTGATTTCATTTGATTCCATCTTTATTATACCTGATAATGAGCTAGTTAAACTTAAGGGGGCTAATCAATATACAGTATATTTCAAGAAACTAAGACTTAAGGTACTCCACTTTTTCAGTTGTTTAAAGACTGAAATACATTTTTCATTTATATTTTAAGTGTAAATTCATTTAAATTTAAAATTGTTAAAAGGTATTACACACTTTGTAATTAACATCTGATGCATTTATAAATCAAAAATCACAATTGAAATAAAAAAAAAATGTGTCTGAGATTCAATATCTTTAACAACATGTACAAACATTACTACAAACTAAACCACCAGGGTCCTAGAACTGCGGTCCTGAAACTGCAGCCTCTGGTTGTGCAGGAACACCCTTCTCCAAAAATCTTGCGTTTATTTGAAAAAAATAATAATAATTTAAAAAAAAAAGTGTATTGTCTGTTAATTTAATTCAGCTACAATTGACATTCTGGTTTAGAGGTCAATTGTATTATTATTATTTAGATATTATAGCATCATTATATATTTATATTATGTTTACCTTTTAGTTTGTAGGAAAGCGTACATGAAATAAATAAATATTTTTTTACTCAATTTTTTAAATTAGCCTACAATTAACAGTTGCTGAGACTATATCACGTCAACAGAATGAAATAAATCCATAGTGATTTTCATAGCTGTCTATCAAAGCTAATATTTAGTTATTGTGCAAGTATTTGTAATATATATTTTCCCAACATGTTTAGTGATTTTAAACGATTGCCTCTCCAAAATGAATCATCTTGTGTAGTAAAATGGAACCGGGGCATCAGTGGTCAACTATTATAATATTATTCACACAATGGAGCTCATTCAGCATGTCAGTAAGTATTCAAAATTATTTTAACAGCCTAATGAAAGTAGAAGTGGGCAGAGCAACAGCACTTTATGCCTCTTAATGCGCATTTCTATGTACTTTACAAGATATCTGAGGAATACCCACTGATCTATAATAGAGAATAATATATATAGATCAGTGGGTATACCACAGAATTCTTCTTCTTCTTGTTTTTGTTGTTATTATTATTATTTGCTATTTTTAGAGAGTGTCAGAGGTATATATATATATATATATATATGGTCAGAGGGCTGTCCTGACATGAATATGTCTAGATTTTAGACTTATGGTTATCTAGGAAGGCTTCTCAAGAAAGACAAAGCATAATAATACTGAATCATAACAGTGGTGCAATCTGTGCATTTTCTCTCGAAAATTCACCACCAAATTAAAATAGCCTTAGAAATGTCTCATAATTAAATGTAGGGCATTATTTGAAAAGGTACTTTTAACTTGTAAAATTTAACTTCCGGCGTTGCTAGGCTCCTCCGGTATTAGCCGTTTGTTTACACATTTCTTTGGCTTTCAGGAGCATCGTTGAAGCAGTGTGAGGAGAAACTAAAGCAGCAGCGTAAGTACATGCATTTATTTAAAATACAATGTTGTGCTCGATCGATGTGTTGAAGAATATGTATTTATAACTAGCTGATTGCTAGTAACTAGTCTCTCGAAGATAAAGGTAATCACCTTATTATTATTATTTTGTTTTGTTTTATCATCTTATTAATACCTTATTTAATTGCCATTTTGAAATAAAGAATAATTGCCTTTGACTTTCTTAACTGGACAACTGTAATTAGCCTGATGTGGACAAAAAGGCCATGTATTGAATTGTTATGTTGATGCAGGTTGGAAAGTCTGACTATTTACCTCAAAAATGCCCTTGTTTGGGAACATTTTCAGTCCCAAAAAAACACCACCTCGTAAGTCTGCATCCCTTTCCAATCTACATACAGTAAGTACAATTTTCTGTTGCATTTTAAGATGCATTTTAAATCAAAAATTAAGTATTTAGAAGCCAAATGATCATTTATTGTTTTTATCAGCTGGATCGGTCAACACGGGAGATTGAATTAGGTCTGAAATATGGATCTCCGGTGATGAATATTGGCGTCCAGAGCTTGACATTTGAAGATGGCCAGTGGATTTCAGGTATAAAATGATCAATTAAATGTAATGATAGCTAACCTGTTTAAGGAATGTAAGGAATGTCTTTCTCAATCACAGAGTCAGGAGGTAATGTATCAGGAAAAGAGGTACAGCGACTGAAGAAAAGGAATCTACAGTTAGAAGAGGAGAATAATCTCTTCAGGCTAAAGATTGAGGTTCTTCTTGAAATGGTGAGTGAAGCCACAATAGCTTGAAAAATATGTTGGCTAAATCTATATACAATTATTAATTACACTGCGCAAACTGCAAAGTGATTTAACTTTTTTCCTTTAAGCTTTCAGAGTCAACAGCAGAAACGCATCTAATACAGAAGGAACTTGAAGATGTGAGGAGTAATTCTCGGAGAAAGAAGTGATGAAAGGAAATAAAGGGGATTCAGTCTTTTTTATGTGTATATACAGTATAGGGATTTTACAATAAAATTGGTGGATCTATTGCAAGACAGTATTTAAATATCACTTACATATTACGCAATTGATTTAAAAAAAAATTCTTTATATCACTTTGTATATTTCCTTTTTTAATTTTGTACTGTTTCATCGCCAATTATGTGAAAAAGAATAGTTTTTTTTTTTTTCAGTTTTAATGAATAATTTCAGGTAATCACATTTTTGCATTTTCTGTTTATTTTGCCTTAAAATAACTGTTGCATTGGAAATACATTCAAAACTATAAAAAAAAAACATCTGAATTCAACAAAATGTTTTCAGATTACATAAAATCAGCTGAAGCTCACTTATAATGTGTTTAGAACACAATAACTTGTCTTATAGCCAGTTATTATACCAAATCCTCATTCCTTTGGCCCCAGTAAGTGCTCTTACATGACAGTCCCAAAACCTTTCAGCATGTGTAGATCTGAATGTGCATTCAAATAACAAAACAATTACACTCTTTCTTTGGTTCAACAGTAAGATTAGCCAAGAGCTGTAAAGGTTTAAACATGTACATGCTGATTTAAGAGGATTTTCATATGGAATGTGAGGCACGTATTACACGCCTAAGGTAGAAAATTCTAGATCTGGCTTTTTTCTTCTTCTTCTTTAATAATTATAAACCAAATACATTTTGAATTATAATAATTGTTGTACCAATTTTATGGCAAAGGTTTTCTACTATGTAATTTGACTTTTCAAAAGCGTACCTGTCAAACTGTTAAACTCCAGATTTCCAAAACAATAAAAGAACACTTGTTATTGTATCACATCCAAACTACTTACATCAGTGTAATGACTCTGTGTGGTTTTTAGAATGAAAATGCATTGTGCAAGTAACTGTACTGACAAAACAAGTAAACAGCCAAACAATAATTCTGTAATACCACTTGTACTGTCCAGGAATTTCACCTCATTACCTATAAATAAGAGACTTTGTGAGCAGATTAATTACAGATTATTAGCAGTGAGTACAAGGCAAGGAAGGAGGTGCACCAGCAGGTTTATTTAGCAGATTATGCTTTAAAATAATTCAAATGTACAGTGCAATGGGGCTTGCTTGATGACAAGATTTAGTGCCTTATGTATCTAGATCATATACATTATGTCTACTAAGAAGGCCAGGTAGATCATACAGCTACTTGAAGAAATTTTCTGCCATTTCAAAAGCCAGGTAAGACAATTACTTGTGTTTCAAGTATCTTAAAAAACAATCAAATAATTGTTCTCAAGATGATATGTTTATTTATCTATGAAGATTTTAAATCTTCCAGGTAAAAGCATCTGGATTTCACTTGTTCTTATAACCACTCATCCTGGTGGTTTCATTAATTGTGATATACAAATGTTACATTTAGAGTCTATATGGTTATGCAAAACTTTCAGAATAATTCTAGAGACTCTGTAAAACAATGTAGTGTTATGAACACTAATACAAAATGAATAGAAATGATTTTAAATACTGTGAGCTCTACACATTTGCTCGATACAAAGAAGTGGAGTAAAAAGCATATTTATTGTATAGAGGTCAGATGTCTTGATTTAAATCAGAATTTTACAATAGCATATTGATGAATTGCAGTAATGTAAAATTTTAAAGTAGTAACTTTAACAGTCTGTCCCAATTGTAATCTGTCAGATGTCTGGTTACGTCAACAGCCAGACTTTTTAAAATGAACATTTTAGAAATATTACAGTAATGCACAAGAGTAAAAGTATCCACACCCTGAATGTATTCCCTCATCATCGTACAAATAATGCATACTGTTAAATTAATCACATTTCCATATGTTTTGTGATGCAACAAGCAAGCAAGAATAAAATGTGAGGTGTACCAGGAACTTGGCATTTGAAGACTCAATCAACTATAACACAAGTCACTAGATAAAAAAAACTTAAAAGAAACTTCATGATCAAAGTTTCTGATATTTACTCAATATGATACATTATGTGTCAGTCAAGTAATGAGTAGGATTGACCTATGACTGTACTTCCTGGAGGTGAAGGGAAACATGTGTCTTGTACTCATGTACTAACTTCCTCTGCAAATGTGAAGCAGGTTCTTGAACAGCAGCACATGTTCGGGAGTGCTTCATCTGAAATTGAAATTGCTAGAATTTGTTCTGTCTGATCACGTTTTTTTTTTTAAATTCTACATATAAGTATATCAAAAACCTTTTATGTCTTCTCTTTTGGAGGCCTGAGCAGCTATGGGAATTATTGTAGAGGATCGAGAGACGGTAGGTGCCCCAGATGGTGGCTGGGGCTGGATCGTTCTGCTTGGATGTTTTGTCATCACTGGCTTCTCATATGCCTTCCCAAAAGCTATAAGTGTGTATTTCAAAGAACTGATGAAGGAGTTTGACTGTGGATACAGTGACACAGCCTGGATTTCATCTATAATATTAGCAATGCTGTATGGTTCAGGTAAGATACTATAAATTGAATTATAAAACCTTTACATGTTTTAGAAAAATCTTATCTTCTTCTTCTTAATGCTCAATATATTTATGTTAATTTAATCCAGGTCCAATCTCCAGCATCATGGTTAATAAATTTGGATGCCGGCCAGTGATGTTGGTTGGAGGATTTCTGGCCTCAGGAGGGATGATAATTGCATCTTTCTCTACTAACATTATCCAGCTTTATCTCACTGCAGGTGTCATTACAGGTAACTAAAAGACATTTCATATCAAAAATGTATAAATCTATAAACAGTTAGTTTCAGTGCTCAAACTGACTTTTCACTGTTTGTATTACTCTGCTTGTCCTTATTTGTGCGTTCCAGACAGATTGTAGTTTCGGTCTTGCTATGAAATGAGCGTTTTTAGTGACAGTATGTTACATTGTTACGCCAGTAGGTGGCGATGTGTGACTGTCTTTGTGAGTGAGTCATTGAATCTTTCGTTCATCCAATTCGTTCAAATACACTGATTCATTTGGGAACTACACCCAGTCTGCTTTGACTTAAATATTTTCATTAGTAACTGTCAGCATGTCATTAAGTCTGCTTAAAAAAAACTTAATATCGGATAAAAATGTTATAAGAAATATCACACTCACAATTGTGCTGTTAGTCTGAATATGAGCAAATGCAATACTGGTTAAAGGGATAGTTCACCCCAAAATTAAAATTCTTTTATCGTTTACTCACTCTCATGTTGTTCCAGACCTTTATGACTTTCTTTATTCCATGGGACATAAAAGAAGATATTTTGAATAATTCTCCGAATCAAACAGTTTTGGTTTCTGAGAAGTTTCTCAAAATATCTTATTTTTTGTTCTGTGAAAGAAAAGAAAAAGCTTTGGAACAACATGTCAAGAAAGTAATATGTCGCCACCTACTGGCGTAACAATGTAACAATATCATAGTGCTGATATTCAGACTAACAACATGACATTTATATTTTGATTAAAAAAATTGACTAGTTTACATTTTTTAAAAAGGAGAATCGAACATTGGGGGTATTGATATTACTATAGTATACACAACACAAAGCTTTGTTTTATAAACAAAAAAATACTATTATAAAACCGAGTCCATAAGTTGTTAATGACAGAGTTGTTAAATTCCATATTTTGAATGAATAATGCCTTTGTCTCTATAAAGGTCTTGGACTGGCTTTAAACTTCCAACCATCACTGATTATGCTGGGGTCTTATTTTGACAAACGCAGACCACTTGCCAATGGACTGGCAGCAGCTGGAAGCCCTGTATTTCTGTCAGCTCTTTCTCCATTAGGACAACTGCTGCTCAACCACTATGGATGGAAAGGAGGCTTTCTCATCACTGGTGGTCTTCTGCTCAATTGTTGCGCCTGTGGAGCAATTATGAGACCCCTGAAATGCAAAGAAAGGAAAGCGATAGCCTGTTCCCAAGAGCTCAAGGAAATGCTGCCTCCTGAGGCTGGACAAGAGAATATCATTTGTGAAAACAATAATGATAAAAAGCCCAGTAAAAAGAAGCTTTTGGACTTCAGTGTACTTGCTGACTTAGGGCTTATTATCTATATTATTGCAAAATGTATAGTTGTCCTCGGCCTATTTGTTCCAACTATTCTACTAGTCAACTACGCTAAGGACCAAGGAGTGCCTGACCAGGATGCTGCCTTTTTGTTGTCTATTATAGGATTTATTGACATCTTTGCTCGTCCCACGTGTGGCATAGTGGCCAGTTTAAAATGGATCCGACCCAAGATGTCTTATTTCTTCAGCCTTGCCTTGCTCTTCAATGGCCTAACAGATGTTTGTTCAGCTACAAACACAGACTATAAGGGGCTAGTTATCTTCTGTGTGTTCTTCGGGCTGTCTTATGGCATGGTGGGTGCTCTGCAGTTTGAAGTGCTAATGGGTATTGTGGGAAAAAGCGGTTTTTCCAGTGCACTTGGCCTAGTGCTTCTTATTGAGGCAGTGGCTGTGCTGATTGGACCTCCCTCTGCTGGTGAGTTATGATGAAAACATGTATTAGATTGAATCGTCCCTCATGAAATGGTCATTTTATGATAAATTGGTAAATGTAGTAAATAATGTTTTCTTTCATGTATTTTTCCCCATAGGTTATTTGGTGGATAAATACAAGAACTATGAACTGATTTTTTACATGGCTGGAGGAGAGCTGATCACTGCTGGAATATTTCTTGCCCTTGCATCATTCATCTTTATTAGCCGAAAGAAACACAAAGACACTCAGCAGAAACATCATGGTGATGTGGCAATCAATCCTAAAAGATAAACAGAGGAGAAAGCTGAAATTTGGGACATTTATGTTCAGTTACTCATATTTTGTTTACTTATGCGTATTATGAATATTAGTGTCTTATATTGAGTGAGGTTTTAGATTTTCCTACTTTCTAACTCTTGCATATAAATTACACAAAATAATTGCACAATCAGCAAAACCACTGAGAAATAAGGATGTCTGAGACAATAAAAAGGATTTTGAATGCCATGTTCTTAGAAATGTTATTTTATATTTATGTTGGTTTTATGTGCTATAGGCCTATATACACAAATGTTTACCTTTTAATTGAATC